TTTACAAACTAGTCAGGGGGGACCAGCAGGCATTGGGGGAGTCCCTGTTCCCCTGAGCACTCCCAGGAGTGACAAGAAATAACGGTCACAAGCTAGCAGAGAGTAGGTTCAGGCTAGATATCAGGAGGCGCTACTTCACTGTCAGGGTGGCCAGGATCTGGAACCAACTTCCAAGAGAAGTGGTGCTGGCTCCTACCCTGGGGGGCTTTAAGAGAAGGCTGGATGAACACCTCGCCAGGGTCATTTGACCCCAGTACTCTTTCCTGCCACGGCAGGGGATCGGACTTGATGATCCCTTCTGACCCTACCAACTTTGAAACTGCTGCCTCAGTCCTGAGGGCCTAGGTTTAAAATGGAGGCTGTTCAGCCCCCTCCTCCTATCTCAGGGCTCTCCTGCAGTCACGTGACCAGCTCATTATGCTAGTTCACACCTGCTGGCTGCCCTGTTGCCTGCTCTGCCCCTTAAAGTGGCAGGCACCAAAAGTGCTCTACCATGCACACCACAGGCATTTTTCTCTCTTCCCTCAATTGCAACCCAAGCAATTCCTTCCTTCCCCGCCCACAGCTGCAACATGCACCTGCGCAATTCCTTCCCAGCTGCATGATCTCTCTCCACCCCCACTGCAGCGGGCACATACTGAGTTTCCTGAATTGGAAGAAATTGGTGGCTTTCTGTTTAGGTTGGTCATAGGCTGTTGGAGTACCATTGTGGCAGCATGAACCTTTCAGAATAATTTTCTTTCCCATTCTTTACATTTTCTAATTTTTTTATTTTATTAATTCACCACTCATGCATTGAGCAGATATTTTCATCCATAATAAGGGCCCAGCCTCTCTTTTGAGTACATACAGGTAATTTAGAAATCAGCAAGTTGTATGAGCGGTAAGCTGAGAAGAACAAAAGGCTTAGTTCAGGAGCTGAACAGGGGAGAGGTTGTTAATGATGAGGTTTTAAAAGGGATTTATGTGATGAAAACACATTAAATATAGTCTCCCTCTGTGTTAACTGGTCACTGATGGTGGAGTTAAGGACCAAGTAAAGAAAAAAGTAAAACCTTTGAGGTGGGCTTGTAATTGTAATAAACTTCTCAGTAGAACTTGTGAAAAAATGAATGGTGTAATTCTCTCAATTGTGTGTATTTGCTGCCACCTGCTGTTACGTGAGAAATCCCATTGCAACATACTAACAGAAGGAATATTTCTGCTGGAGTAGCTACATCACTTTGACAAATGACATAAGCTAAGCTAGCAAATGTCCTTATTTCTTGGCATACCTGCATCTACCTTCAGGGGTTTTGCTGACATGCCTATCTTGGTGAAGGGGGTGTTTTGCAACCCACCTGTTGTGGGTGTACCAGCATCACTTTGTCATGCAGACCAGGCCTAAGTTGCCTCAGTTGTTAGCAAGAACATTGGTTACTAGCATTTTGCTATAGTAAGATAAGTACTATTTTAAAACCCAGCTTTTTAGTAGGTTCAGCCAACTGGAGGGGGTCCAAATATTTTTAAATACGTCTCACTAAAATAGGTGTCCCTCAGGAGCTAGGAGACTATGCAGATGCATGAATTAACTCTAAACATTATTAATATTAGTATTAACTAGCAAATAGTATAAATAATTATATTATTTTAAGGAAACTAGGTAAATAGCTGAAGATGGAGTAAACAGGAGGGGCTCCTAAGAGGGGCTGAGCGGCCTCCATTTTAAACCCAGGCCCTCAGGACTGAGGCAGCAGTTTGCTACAACCAGCTGGAAAAAACACTGCTTGGCTGAGCTACTGTTCATGGAACATCCTTGGAGGTAAGGGCAGAAGCTATGGGGATGCCAGGAGGCTCCTGGTCCTGGGGCATGACCAAAAGCTACACCCTGCTGGGGAGGGATGGTCTGGTGGGTCTGCCCATAGTGGGGCAATTCCCAGGAAATACCAGGCCAGTTGCCTCCCCAGTGAAAGACAAGTAAGAGGTGCCTTAAAGCCCCAGCCTCCACATCCTAATGGGTTACCTATGGTAGGGACAGGCACGGGGTAGTGATGTGGACTGGTAGGGACAGGTCACATCTGTGGACACGTGAGCCCCATGGAGTGCAAGACCCTGGAGGCTTTTTTTGTTGGACCTGCTTTCAATAAGATTTCTAAAGACAGAGGCCCTCATTTGAAACAGGTACCACAACAGAGGTAGAGTAAGGAAAGTTTTTGTAGAGAAACTTTTGACATGTTTTGTTTATGTATGTGTGTTTCTTCATTGGCAGGAACAACTGGAGGTTTGTGACTTCACCAAATTTCATTCTCTGAAACCAAAGCTGATTGAAGCGGTGGATAACATGCTGGCAAATAAAATTGCCTCTCTGATGAGTCTAATCTCTCAGGAAGAAAACAACATGCCTACAGAGATGGTGCATGGTGGAGCATTTGATGGCACCATGGCGGGACCCTTTGACCATGGGTATGGGGAAGGTGCCAAGGAAGGAGCTGGTGAACAAGAGTGGATTGTTGCCAAAGATAAACCTGCATATGATGAGATCTTCTATACCCTGTCACCAGTCAATGGAAAAATCTCAGGGGTTAGTGCGAAGAAGGAAATGGTGACTTCCAAATTACCAAACAGTGTCCTGGGGAAAATCTGGAAACTTTCAGACTGTGATAATGATGGGATGTTGGATGATGAGGAGTTTGCATTGGCAAAGCATCTCATCAAGATTAAACTAGATGGGTATGAACTACCCAACAACTTGCCTCCACACCTCGTGCCACCATCACACAGGAAACCTTTGCAGGTGTCAGAGTGAAAAATACAGGGAGGGGTATTGATTAATTGAGGGAAATGCCTATCCAAATGAAAACAATCCAAATCTTTTTCAGTTGTGTAGAACCACCAAGGCTCATAATTTAGCTTTAGAGGCCATCCTTAAATCACAACCACATTCCATGCAAGTTACTGTAATTAGCAGCATAGTAAAAGGGTTACCTGCATAATACCTCTGGCTGACCATAGAAATGTTTATCACAAGTGCCTTTTGTAGTAGCTTCCATACTTCCATACTTGAGCTGAAAAGGCTTTCTTTGAGAGTCAGTCCCTGTATAACTTACTCTGTCTACACCCCAAAAAAGCAGAAAAGGTCATAAATAACATCATCAAAATTCTGCCATATAACTAAGGCAGAAGTAGTAAAAAAAAAAAAAAAAAAAAACCAGTTTGACTGCATGTCCTGTTTCTGATTCTAATGTTAATCCTTTGGAGGGAAGCGTGTCAAGGAAATAACTTTTTATTTAAAAAAATAAAATAAAATAAAAAAAGAGTTGAGATGTAGTGAATATTTTTAAAATTTACCAGTGATTATTTTTAAAAATCTGTAAAATATTAAAACAGCTGTTTAAAATCTGCTATAACTGTCTGTTGTTAGACTGAACAGTTGTCTTGCTTTGCTGTTTATACAGCACGCTGTCTCTAGTGTCTATCTGTTAAAAAGGGTTAGATCTACACTGAGTATGGGATTTCTGAGTTTTTTCTGTTTAGCTGGTTTACACAATACAAGTTACATTCTCCAAAGGAATCAGTGATATGAAATTCCTCAGGTTTTCAGGTGTGTAGGCTTGGCTCTCAGAAGGGCGGGGAGTCCAAATGTTTTAGCAGAAACAGAAGCCTCTTTTTGATTTGAGAAAAAGTGGGTTATATGAAACTTTAGCATATTCCAAATGCATATAAGTTGACTTGATAAATTCTCTTCAGATTTTAGTTGATGGGCTGTTCCTAATTCTGGGTACCCCACTTAATTTCTTTTACTTCAGCGAAGTTTTATATTGTCAGTAGGTAGCTGGTAAATGCAGAAAAGAGATTCCATTCTTTATTATAGCATTGCATTTGAAAGACAAGCTCTTAGGGGAGCTAAACTTCCACTGAAATCAGAAGTTGTCTTTCAGCTCCCTTTAGTGGAAGCTCTATTGGTTCTTTAGAGTATTATTAATAAACTGAAAAGAAAAAAACTGGAAGGAGCATAAATTCACCAACATTTCAGTGTCCTTCAAGCAGTACAATGGAAGAGAACTGATCATACAGGTTACATACAATCAATTTTAACAGATCCCTGTTCAGTGCTTCAGAGGAAGGCAATTTCTCATCCCCATGAATTTCAGGATAGTTTTGGAGGGACAAAATCTTCCTGATGCCAAATTTGCCAACCAGCTCAGGTCTTTGTGCCTCAGCAGTAAATGCCTTTTAATACCTTTACTATGGAATAACATGGGTATCAAAATAATGGTAATATTGAGCATTTTTTCTCTTGAATCCCAGCAGAATGTATTTTTACAATACCTTCTGGGGCAAAGCAATCCAAAGAACCCCCTTAGATGAAGGAGGGAGATTTTTTTAAATATATTTTTGTCTTTATTACTACTAGTACGTAACCTGATGGCTGAAGACAGAATATTAAAAAATAATAATAAACCCCTCACCAGGTAGAAACAAAAATTTTAATGTACCCTTTTATGTGATTCTAGTTTATATTTATAGTAACATCTTGTGTATGTGTTCAATAAAGCCACAAAAGAGATTGTTATATGCGTGATAGTTCTAAGTATTTCATTATGCACTTTAAAAAAATGATTTGGGAAACTTTCATATAATTCAAAGACCTGATCTAATTTGTTCATGAGATGTTTTTTAGTAACCAGCTGTTCAGCATAGCATCTTCATCAGTGTAATGAAGTGAGAGAGGGCTCTCTCTTGCAGTTTCTTTCAGAGCATGTTTCTTGGCTATTTTAAAGTAAATTCATTATCTCTTTTTGAACGAAGTGTGTCAAATCTTAAAGCACATCTGTAAAATTGCATAGCTGCAGCATAGGGTCTCAAGATATTTTATAACTGAAATATGCCTGAATGAAACTTCTTAAACATTTTCACACACTTTTTCATTAGTTTGTATTCATCATTTATAATTTTAATTTGTGATTATAGCTAAGAATATTTATTTTGGCATCATCCATCTAACAATACTCAAATTATTTTTTGTTGATCCTGCAGTCTTGCTGTTTTATGAGAATGAACAGAAAGGCACTTCTACTTCAGTTAGGCCATAGCTGCCTTTCAGCTGGAGGCCAACTGGTACATCTTTTCTTTGGGTATAAGAAAGCTCATTATTCCTGAGGAAATTTTTTAATTACTGTAGGGGAAGTCGCTTCATTGTCTAGCCAGAAGCAAGAGTTTGTATACCTTTTATGAATGTTTTGATTTGGGTTTTCTCCTGCTGCTTGTGTGTGTGTGTTAAAGCAGCTTCTTTTAATTCCTCTGTGCCACTGTTTAGATCAGGGGCGGGCAATTATTTTGGGCAGAGGGCTGCTTACTGAGTTTTGGCAAGCCATCGAGGGCCACATGACAGGCAGATAAATACTAACTTTCTAAATTTTCTAGGGACCCCATGGGCCGGATAGAATGACCTGGCAGGCTGCATCCGGCCCCTGGGCCGCATTTTGCCCACCCCTGATTTTAGATTGCCCTCTGCTTTGGGGGTCTTCTTCCAACCCTGTGTTTGAAGAAGTCCACTTGTTTAGCAGTGTTTCTTTACTTTTTTTGAGAGAAAGAGTCCGTTTTTCTCTAGTCTTTTCTTCTGTACTTCCTCTTGGTTCTGGTCTTATTATATGCTTTGACCAACTCACTGCTTGCTATCCACATTTTGCTCAGCTGTAACACAACAAGTCTGTTCTGTTTTCTCCAGTCTGGGAGGACAGCAAGTGGGAATATACGCTTTTTTTTTTTTTAAACTGCAGAGGAAATTCACTTCTTCCCTTCTTCCTGACTCAGTTCTTTGGGAGGTGGGGGTTGGGATGGACAACCACTGCTAACCTCATATAGATAGGTAGTTAACCATATTAGTCTGAAGGTGTCTTTGTCTCTAACCAGCTATTCTCTAACAGGCCTGTCCAGTTTCTATGCAGCTGGATTGTATGCCACAGAGGCTGCACCAGTACAAGCCACAGCCCCTCTCCTCCCCCTCTTCCCAGACTGCACACTGCATGCATGTCCCCCTTGCTGCACTTCACCATGTTGTGTGGGTACCTCAGGCTAGGGGTTATGCCGTGCCCCACCCCCCGGGGCAGGAAGCAGAAGCCAGAGGAGGGAGGGGGAGTCCTGAGCCCCCAGCTGCTGTTGCAGCTGGATGGACAGGGAGCAGAGGCTGGGTCAGAGTCCAGGAAGACTGCACACTAACCCTCATTGGATGCATAAGGTCTGTGCGCTGCCAGTTACAGCCCTGGTTTGTCAGGGGCCGTCGTAATGTGCCTTCTGATAACATCATGTTATGTTGCATGTTATATCCTACATGAAGTTTAGGGCATTGACAATGCATAGGGGGTGCACCGTCCTGAGCGTGGTGGTGCACCCCCTGTGGGCAGTCGCCACTCGCCACCTCCCCCACCCACCTCTTGCCGCTGGTACCACCGGCAATGTGTGCGAGTGGTCCGTGATTGCCGACACTGCTGGTGGCATCTGCAGGTGGTTGTCAACTGCCGGTCAGCGCTCGCCACTCCCCTCCCCTCCCCTCCCCTCCCCCCAGCACCAACAGTGCTGCGGCTGCCTGCGGGAGCTCCCCCCTTGCCGCTGACAGCACCACTGCCACCTGTGGGAGCTCACCCTGCCCCCTCCGCGTCCAGGGGCACGCGGCATTCATGGTTTAGTGGAAGTCTTGCGTGGGTACAGACCATAGGATTTTGTCCTTTAGAATAGCTGTGAGCAAGCATATAGATACAGATGCTCATTTTAAGGCAGAAGGTATATCCAAGAATAAGGAAAACTAATACAAACTGGATTGTGTTGACTCTGCTGTTCCAAAAGGAATCTGTTACAAGTTACATTAATAGCTTCCCCTCTTTCCCCCACAAATGTGAAGTTATGCTTTGGGAAGGAAGTAACAGACCCTTACCAGGATTTTGTTGTGTGTAAATGCAATACAAGCTGATTACATAATGGCTGAAGGGTGAATTTTCCTTCTCAAAACTGAAAGTCTGCTTGGAAATAAGGGACACCCTGCTTTTCTTAATCCCGCCTGAAGTTCAGTGTGTTTCTTTATTCTGCCCTTATGCTTAGTTTATCTCCCCCAGTATACTTATTTGATTCCTGTAAAATATAGATAAAGGGCCAAACTCCATTTCTGTGCAAGTGTAGTAGCTTCAGTGGATTTAAGCTTACACAGGTTAGGGTTGAATTTGGCCTTAGTCTGTACATGATTGTCATGAATAGTGAAACTGATCCTCTGTAACTTATTAAACAGTTTATAAAATCAGTATATTTTTATGATAGGATATTTTAAATAGAAATATAGGCTTTAGAAGCAGTTGAACTACTATTAATGTGTTAATGTATATGGTATCTGCAATCCATGACAAATGCGCACACTGGTGTCTTACGTGAAAATCTTGCCTAAGGAGATCTGTTGGAGGAAGAGGGAAGGATTTTTTATTTTTTTTACTCCAGCATAATGTAGCACAGAATGGGGATTGGAGCTTCTTGATAGCAGCTCTGATTCTCAAATCTTGCACTTCCCTTCCTGACCCTTCTGCACACAAATGCACAGAAATCCATGGTGGGCCTGGTCTTCTAAATCACCACCATGTGAGCTGCCAGATCCTGATTGTCTGGCATGCTGGATTCATAGCAGGTTCCACCATCCCTTCCCACCAAAAAGTGGTGCAGGATTTTCCCCTCAGTGACCTGCTGTCTTACTTAATTTATCTCTCCATTTCTGTTGATAATGAAAAGGTGATGACGCCAACCTTCTTTCCACTCCTTACTATGTACAAACACCCACTTCATGGCATTTTCAATCCCCTTTAGTTCAACTTGTAATGAAATTTTTCCAGGCAAACCTGGAAATTAGGTTCAATGGGAATATGTTGACTTGGCTGAACTTTTGTTTTGAGGAGGGGGATTGCTGTTTCAGTAAGGTTCAAACTGTTTGTATTGATTTTCTATGGAAGTCTGTTCCAAAAGAGGGATGTCAAAGTTGTATGTGGGGAAGGGGAAGCTGATTCACTGATACTTCTTTTCTTTTCTTAAAGTAATATAAATGCTTCGTAGCTGAACTGTGAAGTGTAAGTGGTGCAGTGCATTAACATTGCAACAGAATCCACATTTGCTTAGTTGATAGCGCCCTTGTAAATTGTGGTAGCTTTCCTAAATAATTCTCAGGAGCAACACATATCACAATTGCCATCACTCAGTCTGATAGTGTTGTTATCCTCTGCTCAGGAAAGACCTAAGTCTGGGATAACGGGTATTTGTAGGCTTACGTTCATTAGGACTACAAGAGCATTTAGAAATATCAGACATTACTTTTATGAGAACAGGAACTGCTGTTACTAGTCTTTTTCTTAAACACAGATATAGGCTACCCCCCCACACCCATGTTCAGCTATTCTATAGCACAATTAATTCATATCAGTCTGTGATTCTGTTCCTATGAAAGTCTGGGATTTTTGCTTTCATCTTGAACAGAAAGAGAGAGGCCTATTTTTTTGTTTTGTTTTAGCCATGCTGGAAGTAGAAACAAACCTTATAAAGCTGTGCCTGTGTTTAGGTTTGCAATGATTTCTTACCTGTACTGTAGTTCTAATGTCCAGGTCAAAAATAATATATACCTCATTGGGGGTAGGCATGAATACATTTACAGAACCTGTTCTTCATACACCTGTCTCAAGCGAATAATATTATTTTTCACTTTCAACAGTAAAATTCACCTATAACACACTTTTTCATGTCCTGTTTTAACTGTCTGGTAGATTTTTGTATTATTATAATTCAATCAGAGTTTGGGTCTTAGATTTATTTGGGGTAACAATGTGCCACTTTGCTTTTTTCTTCTTTTTTTTTTCCTATCACACTGACTAGTCATTGTATGACTTAATTATTTTAACGTCACTCCAAAGGCATTTGTTTTTCATATTTAAGAAAATATTTAATAACTATTTCTTATTGTAGTAATTACCATTTCTTACCATTTCAGTTTGTCTGAATGAGCAAACAAGGACATAAGGCTATTAGAATTGCACTTTGATTATATGTACAATAAATTCCATACTGTAACATTTTTAACATGCTTTGTAATCGTATTCAGGTAATTGTGATAAAATTTGCTGATTAATAAACTAATGGTAAACTACCTGTTCCTTTTTTTCTGTTCGTTTTTTTTTTTTTCTTTTTGGTAAACTTGTTAGGGATGCATGTATTCATTGTCAGTTTAAAACAAAACCAGGAAATGTCCCCGCCAGTAGTAACAAAAAAAGAATGCCTTGCTGATTTGTATTATTGATTTAACTGACAAGAGTTATGGTTTGGTTGGTTTGTTTGTTTGTTTGCTTTGGTTTATATGAAGCTACTCCAGAAATTTCAATCTGTAACATCAGAGTTATCTTTAGAATTTACATCACATATATTTATGTACATAATCTGCAGAATCACGGCTCTTTTCTGGTGTAATTTTATCCCTAAAGCTTTCAGAGTTTAATTCCACAATGGATTGAGTGGAGTTGCTCTAGTACAGGGTTTTATTTTATCTGGCCACTCCTTATTTACA